GAGAGAGAGAGAGAGAGAGAGAGATTATATTGTCTAAAATTTGTTTTTTTTTTTAACTTGTATCACTTTCTCTGTATTTAAGGTTAAAGGATCAATTATTAAGTGGCGCAGATGAAAACACCATACTATTCAAAGACTTGTTTAACGAATATCAAAAACTATTTGGCACCGAAAAACCATTAGGCGTCAAGGAATTTTATACAGTTTTGAAGATTGCATTTCCACAACCACCTGCAGTTGAGATGGCAGTAACAACAGGCGACAATCCATTGGAAACAGTGTTACAAAATGTGAGATATTCACCTACAAGACGAAGAGATGGTAAATAAATAAAAAAAAAAAGACTGGGAAGATCTCAAAAGAAGAGCAAAAGTTTTTTTTTTAAAAAAAAAACCATATATCTTTTAGGTCCTGTCTGTCATTGGAATGAATGTAACCAACTCTTTGATACAAATGTCCAACTGCATAAACACATTGTCCAAGAACACCTCGGAAACGAATGTCAATGGATGAAATGCGCTAAACCTCTCGAAAGCAGATCACACGCAATACAGCATATGCGCACACACTTTGCAGGCAAGGTCCATAAGCCACAGCAGCAACCCATGTTTACAGTGGCAAAGATCCCCATTGATGATTCAGAGGTGTCTGGCATACCCTTAACATCGGCATTACTGCTGAGAAATTTGGCGAGACATAAACAACACCATTCGTATTATTTTCCTTATGAGGCCGAATTGACGCTATTGGCAATTCAAAGACCCAAAATCGCAAAGTATATATTGACTGTATTGAATGATTTACAAGTGAATTAGAATAGAAGAAACACACACAAAATAAAGTATAAAATAATAATAGTAGTCATGTTAAATATATGTTGGTGTTAGAGGTGTATATCTTATAAGAGCTAATTTATCACTTAAAAATGGGAGATAAAGAGAGAGTGCAGTCATGAAGACCAGTTGTTCTTTTACTCTATATCCGACTCTCATTCACATAAACAACCATACACACGATTTTTCTTACATTCGTTTATAAAACTGTACTTTTATTATTTACATTGTCAAATACATTAAATACGCATATAATTTAAGAGTTAACTTCTTGCTGAGCCTCGCCCTTCTTCTTTTGGACCTTTGCAGCAGCCTCATCAGTCGAGTTACCCGTCAATGCATTGTAGGCACCCTTGACAGCACCCATCGTTTGATCAACAGCACCCTGGACATAGCCGGTGACATTAGCAGCCGTTTCCTGGACTTGACCAGAACCACGCTGTGTGGTACCTTCAGATTGGAGAGATTCATTACCAACAGCAGAACCTACGGTTTCCTTGACGTTACCAACAAATTGGTCCTTTTTACCTTCAGTTTTGGATGGGTTCATTTTGATTGTTTTCGTGTAATTCAGTTTGATGATAAAAAGGTGTTCATTTTTCTCGCCATTTTTATAATAGACATTTTGACAAGTGATTACCATATTTGTAAAAAGTCTTACATTGCATCATTATTATTTCATTTTAAACTGATAAAACAAAAAATCAGATTACATCATTTGCATAATCCAACCAATGCAAAAACATGCCTATTTCAGAAGTCCTTTTTTTTAACTGCCCGAAAATGACAAGGGAGTAGATGGAATGAGGAAGAACCATTTTTTGATGGAATCGTCTTTTTTTTTTTTCTGTTTGACTTTAATAATTTAGAAAAAATAAAATAAAATTGTACAAAATGGTAAGAGAAGAATGAAGCAAAAGGGGGTTGTTTTCTATGTATACTATCAGCATTTTTTTTTTTTCTATATAATTTTTTTTTTTTTTTGTTAAAATGTATTTTCAAACGCATCACAATCTCTTGCCGCCTCAATCAACGGTCTTAGCGCATCCAATGGCGCCGCCTTGAGTAGGAACGGATGGCTCAACAATTCACTCGCCGATGGTCGATTCTCCGCATTGAACTGGAGGCATTTTCCAAGAAAATCGCGAAACGTACTTGAGAACTGATCGGGGTTTTGCAAATTGGGTGGGATACGCTGGGTGGTAAGTAATTGGATCGCCTGGTCGGGATCCTCCAAGTGGGGTGGACTGCCCTCCACCATCTCGATGGCCGTGATACCGAGTGACCAGATATCAATGCTGGGACCGTATGCTTTACGTTGAACGACTTCAGGTGCCATCTATATATAAATATGAGTTGAGGAATGGGACAAGGTTATTTCTTTTTTCTTGTGGGGACTTACCCAGCATGGTGTACCTGCCAGTGTCGTTCTTTTGTTGTGTTTACCATCCATCTGTGCACAATATCCAAAATCGGCTTTTTATATATATATATAAATAAGTATACGAAGAAAATATCAGCTTTTATAAATATATATATATATACTTACATAATTTTATTTGACCATCCAAACCAATCAAAATATTATCACTCTTAATATCTCGATGAATGATACCCCTTGCATGAATATACTCCAACGCCTTGAGGATCTCTCGACAGACAGCCGCAATCTCGCCCTCCTCCATATAGCTCTGGGTCACAATGTCGGTCAGACTCCCACCATCCATGTACTCCATCACAATCCAGACATCGCTTCTCCAGAGATAGCTCTCAATCTGCTTGACAAGGTTGGGATGGGTGGGTCCCAAGCGGACTTCTTCTATAATTAAATCTCGACGGGCCTGTCTCCTTAAATGTATCTGTTTGATGGCGACAGGTTTATTACTCCCGTCGATCTTGTAGGCTCTATAGACAGAGGCAGAGGCACTATGCATTATTATTTTTTTTTAGTAAAAAAAAAAAAGGGAGGACAGGTGTTATATATATTTGTTGTTATTTACCCTTCACCGATTTTAACCATGTTTTTATAGATGGTAGCGGGGTTCTCGTGTATACATAAATCTTTTAGTGCCGTGATGGCCTCTGCAGTTGACATTAATCGTTTTGATTTTGGCTCTTCCTCCTTCTCTAAAATCTCGACTTTTTCGGTAGCGATCTTTGCTGATGGTATGGGCATCATGGGTGGTGGCGGTGGTGGAGGTCGCTGTTTTTCAATTTCGGTATAAAGTCGTTTTATAAAGGTGGATAGCAAGACATCTTGATGCATACTTTCCAAGTTTGCTTAAATAAAAAATGATATATTGTTATTTTAGCTTTAAGGGAAATATTTTTTTTTTTTTGTGGTTGTTGTTATACCTATTTTCCATTCAGGTAGACTTCCAACCGTAATTTCACCTGTTGTTGAATCTAATTTTACATGTGTTTTATGGATAGTATGAAAAGGGAGTGAAATGGACATGTCTTCTTCTGCTGCTTTTTTCGTTCTCCATAAATAAGCTACGAAAGTTCTTAGTCATATATATACACAGCATAAGAAATGTATATGTTTTTTTTTTACCAACAATTCTAGTAAAAAGACTTCTTTTTGCTATTGTAGAATCAGCAGATGATGCTCTATTGTATAAATCATGAGAGAACCTTGATTTGGGTACAAAACTTTCCAAATAGGAAAGAATAGGCTCGTTTGTGGTCATCTTTTGATGAATCTTTCTTCCCAAAGTCCATTGGAAGGAAGATTGATCGAGGCTTTGTTTAAACATAAAAGGGTTTAATTAAAGAGAAAGAAAGAAAGAATTGTAATTAAAGATATACTTTAGTTTATTTTATAACTTGAGAATAAAAAGAGGAGTAGAAAAGGTGTGTCTTTCTTTCCAAGTACATC